CCTCCGCGAACGCGCAAAAAAGGAAAAGTGGGGGGGGATGGGGCGAGGAAGTTGCAAGTCTCAGGCAGCTCACAAACAGACTGGTGGGCAGGTAAGTGGCTGCTGCTGGGTGCAGGAGGGTATGTGAGGGGCCAGTATGGCACAGCATGAGAGTGGTGAGGCTTGGGGTAGCTGCTGCAGGGTAAAGGAGGGTGTGCAAGGGTCTGACATGGCACAAGAACAGCGGGGCTTGGGGTGGTTGCGGGGCTTGGGGTGGTTGCTGCAGGGTGTGGGAGGGTGTGGGGGGCTGGCACAGCGTAAGCACAGCGGGGCTGGGGATGGCTGCTGCAGTGGGTAAAACTTACCTGAGCAACTTGTGACCTTCCCTGCCAGTTTTCCCATTGATTCTGCTTGTGGGAAGCCAGCAGGGAAGGTCACAAATGGCAAACATATGGCTGCAGGATGCTGCAACTGTCGTAAGCATGAGCCGGTTGCCAAGTGCCCAGATTGTGATCACATGACCGCAAGGGTGCTGGGACTGCTGGAACTTTAAGGACTGGTCAAAAGTACCTTGTTCAGTGTCATTGTATCTTCAAACTGTTGCTCAACAAGTGGTTGTTAACTGAGGACTACCTATAATAGGATCAAGTAGCCCTCTGAGAGTTCCATGCCAAAGGGGCTGAAGGACCTGTGTGCAACTCTGTTAAATAATTGGGAGTTCTTGATTAAACAGCTGCCCTACTTAGAAAACAGTGGACTGAGTGTTTGGAAACTAAATTAAACTAAACTAAACTAAAATGCTGCCATTTCTACTAGATGCCATCTGTCACCCACTCTTATCCTACCCACTGCCTGTTACTTTAGTACCAACTGAAAATGAGAAACCCTTAACTTTTATTATTTATCATAATTCCATAGCATCAGTATCCTTCCTGAAATTTTGCAGATCTTACCTCTATAATTTGTGCCATTTTTATATAAATTGCAAAAGCAAACTACCAAACATCCAAATAGACAAGAACAAAAGAGATTTAAAAAGTGGATAACTCCAAATACATCAGAATTTTGCTTCTCACTTGTACCTGCCTTTTCAAATATTATGGATTCTTTTAAACAATGGGAAAATGTCTGCAACATGTAATCTTGCCATTATCCACAAAAATACATAAGAGGATAAGCACATCCAATTTGAGGGGAAATTTCAAGTGGTAAAAGGCTGCTGTTACACAAGAAAATATGGCTCTATTCACCTAAAACTTTGCACACTTGATTTTCTCAAATTACGCAATTTTGTTTGGAAATTCTTTTTAATTCACCTAAGAAATAAAAAAAGGAAACATCAACTCCTCTTTTAAAACATAGCACACAGAGATAAAACACACACACAGCATCAAACACCCAAAAACCTCTTCCACCTATTTGTCAGCAAATTTCATCCAAGTCTGCCACAAAAATTTATAGGAATGTTTTATCACATGTGGTAGACATGTAAAAAAAAACCAAAAATACTGGTAAGACATACATAGTATAATGCAGAAAATGTTGGAATTTAAATTTGAAATGAAACCATAATTTTTCTTACTAGGAATAATCTCTGGAAAAAAATCAACAAGAAACATAATTTAATGAGAAATATGCTTATACAGTAGCAGCAGGAATAAATTTTGCTCAATATTGGAAGAAAGATACAATTTGACAATATCTGACTGGGAACTTAAACTTGGAGAATACGCAACAATGGCAAAACTAGCAGTATAAACACACAATAGAATTTTAACTAAATTTAAGCAAGAATGCATATATATACAGCACAGTAAATATAATCACCTATAGTTTGGCTTTTAAGGAGGCCTAAATGCTTATAAATATTGCAAATCAGCAGATGTATAAAAAGGGGGAAGTCAGAAACTTAGTAGCTTTTTTCCTTTTTTCAAATTTTTATTTTTTCCACCTTTATCCACCTTTTTTCCTCTTTTTTCTTTTTTCTTATTTTAAATTTGTTAAACTTGTCTTGTTCATC